GCATGATGTACTCTTTGATGTTAAAAACAACTGAAAAATATCAAATTTTGGAGATAAAATGGGAGTAATGAGTAAAGTAATCAAGCCGCAGGACATCCATGTCCTCGTTCTCCTTCTTTGCATTTGCAATCAGCATCTTTCATGCGACGTTCAGTAATATCTCGTCCCTCAGCCGTCTTCCCGATCACACAGAGGCATCCTAAATTGCTTATTGAAGTCATTTCATAGAGTGAGCAATCAATTCAGATTGATCTCATGGGACAAGGAACCACCTTTGGGTCGTGGGAAACAGCCCTCCTTGAGTCCTTTGAATTTGTTATGAAGTTCGTCAAGTACTGCAGCATAGTTGGCCTGGGCACGTTCCCTGAAACCATTAAACCTCAGAAAAATTTAAAGAACAAAATCTTAAATATTGATCGAAGTTATCGATTACCTGACTGGGTCGCGTACATTCTGGCTAGGTTGGTCGCGGCCACGAGCTTTTTGTTGAGTCTGATGGACACTGGAAGGCTGACGTTGAGTAGCTACCCCGACATCACGTTTAACACGCTGAAAAGGGCTAATTCAGAAGAGCGGGCAGCAAAAACAATCGTACGGTAGTCCCACGCGACTTTTTTTTGTTAGAAACAGCAAGCCAAGAGCCATGTGGGGCCTAATTGAAGCCACTTCAGGATCAGTAGCCGGTCCAGAAAACTTACGCTGACTTTGCATTCCTCGGGGTTGTTGTAAGCTGTGACCACCTCGTTACCATGAGCATCTTTCTCATTGCACTTGCATCCACCTGATGGTTTTGGGAAGCAGTTTTCCTAAAAAGCAAGTTATTTTAAAAAGGATAAGGCATATTCAAGAGTTTTCGTGACCAGGAGAGCACCTAAGTAGGCGAAAAGCATGAAGTGCATGAAGAAGTAAAAGGGTCAAAGCTTTCTCACAACATTCTGGATAATAGCGAAAGATTGGAGAGATAGTCAAGAAACAAGCACAATTTTGCCGATTTTTTTCCGAATTTCGATTTTCAGAAGTAATTTGTTGGTTGCCTACGAAAGGGCATTCATATCTCCCTTTAACATCTTGGCCTCGTCTTCTCTTAAACTCACGAATGGAGAAAATCTCAAGAGAAGCTAGCCTCATGAGATTACGAGAAGTGTCATCCAGATAGATGCTAATGTCTGATAGCTCTGAAGTGGGCGTCTAATCCCCTAGAGGAAGGATAAGTTCTTTGTTCAAGCTTCAACGGATTAGTGATCTTGCTACTTCTTGGCTAATGGAGTTTATTCGAGAGAAAGAAGATTAGCCTCAGGAAAGCTCTCCTCAATCGTGTCCACATCCTAGAACCAACCCAAGAAAGAAACGTCCTTTTTGAAACCTAGACACTAGTCTGAAAGGCGTTTCAGCGAAAGACCATACTCACTAGGCTGTAAATTGATTCCAAGACCAACAATCGAAAATGAACGATCAAGAGCAAGGATGCCTGAGCCTCCCAGGACCGTTTTTCAAAATCTGGGCATGCTAGGCTTTCCCATTCAAGTTCAGTCTTTAGGAAACCGTCAAAACCTCGCAGGAGAGCCAAACTTTCGAAATTTGGGTTCAGAGGTCTGTTTCCAGGACAATCAGGTGGACAATAAAGACTTTTCTAACTAAATCTTTTCTAAAGGGAAAAATAAATGAATTCAATGAATTTCCAGGTCGCCCCATTTAATAGTACACCACTATGAACTATGAGGTGCTTGAATAAGTAGAGTAGCTATGTATATACATTTCGTCGGCATTACTGACAGAAATCTACGGCGCAACTAGTCACTTCCTTCTAAAATCCTGACCTACCTTGAAATCGCCAAACTTCTCCTTGATTTCCGCGTTCAGCTCAGTTTTGTGCTCAGCTGTTTGACCTGAAATTACTCTTTTTTTTAATAGAAAACACTTCGAGTTTTCATAAACGCTAAAATCTTAATGTAATCTCAAAATCTTAAAACCTAATCTGATTAGTACACCTCGATTTTTTTTGAGTGAGAATGGGGTAAATAATCAAATTTATTGTAGTGCTACGAATTTATTATAAGCAGTCAAAGTTACCTAGAATTTTCTCTTTATTTTTCGAATATCAATCTGTTTTTGAACACTGAAAATTTCTTACTTTCGAGACTTTTCTTGCACTGAGCATCAGCCGTGTATTCGACGACTTCTTCGCCATGTCCCAAATCGACGTTGCATTTGCAGCCACCCGATGGCTTCGGGAAGCAGTTGTCCTGTGAAGCACCTCATTAGCGAGCGATTTTCAAATGGTCATTTCCCAATTGGAGAAGCAGCTTTAGTTTTAAATGAGGATCAAAAACTATGTATGTATGGGAAGTGAAACCATGACAAGTTACAAGCCTTTATCCACTGACACCCAAGAAATATCGAAAACCCGTTGTACATGAATTTCAGGGACCACAAATGGATCACAATTCCTCAATTCTCCTTCTTCGGTTTTCCCTTGGTTTTCTTTCGCCGGGTATCCTGATTTCATTCTTCTGTACCCCTCGAAGAAATGGAGTCAGAATACCCTGAAAAGCCTTCACACTGCCCTATTAGACCTTTCGAGCGGTGGTTCTTCCAGACCTACTCTTTCAGCTCGTATGTCAGCTAGTATGTCAATGTGTAATCCCTATCTTTCCAGCACTTCCTTTAGGCGCTAGATATATGGGATCTAACGTAAATGGGAGATCACCCAAAAGAGGACATTATAAAATTTCAGTTGTAAGCTCGAAACACTAAACACAGTTCAAGAGCTGGCTCCCAGGCCTCGCTTCCGATGCAATTTTTTGAGCCTCATGACCACCCATAACATCATAAGCAACCCAAGTATCCCCCTGAGTGAGCTTATGCAGCTCAATAGCCTTCCTCTAGTGGGACATTCATCAACTTTTGGATCATGCGCTATAAACTATAACTTATGGTCATGGCTGTCACTTGATTATTCCCGACGCAACGGCTCTTCCTTAAGCCAAATGAGCCTCTTGGGTTCATTTGTTGGCTATGGTGCGTCGCAAAGAAAATTATGGCATCAAGATATGAGAAACCGCAACCACAACTATGCCGAAGTCTACACCAGGGAGATTATGGGATTCAAGAAAACCACTGGACGCAACCACCTCCACTTTTGGATAGAAAAGCCTTACAAGTCAGGTGCTCACCTTGAAACCGCCGAACTTCTGCTCGATTTCTTTGTTCAGCTTCTTCTTGTTGTCTGCTGTCACCACTGGAAAATAACGATTTCTCGAGGTCGGCAGCACCTTTGTTCTCATAAAATTCGCGTTAAATAAGTTATTAAAAAATAAGTAGTTATTTTAGAGGAACGTGCTTGCATCAACTACCACCCAGCCTTTATTATTTCTGCTCACTGGAAGATCGAGTTGGACCCGTAGCAACTTATCTCCACTACCTACCGTTTACCATGCAGCTCTGTTGGTCAGGGATAGGAATGATCCTCACCGAGAACCTTAACCCTTTTGAAAACCGACACTCTTTCAAGACTAAAATATGAGGAGTAGAAGGATGCCGCAGAAGAACTTTGATCCCTACAACCCCATCTGAATGTAGTGCACCACCCAATTTTCGACCTTTGATTGCGATGAGGTGGCAATTTCATTTGCGGACCCCTACGTCAACTAGTTAGAGGCCTACAAATTTGCATTCTGAAAGGGTGAAGTATTATTCAGATTTGCTATGTTTGGTTCCAACAACTCCAAGATTCCGAGAATAAACAGGGTTACATACCGAGTCCATACTCCCTCAACGCTCCTAATGGGAACACTTACCTGCCTCAGAAACCACAGAATAGCCTTTTAAATTTCTAGGAAATTTGATGTTCAAGAGTAGAAACTGACTCTCAATTGGCTTCCTGCAATCCTCGTTTGTGTCGAACTCGATTTCGGTGTTCAAATCTCCTTCAACGATGTCACATTTGCAGCCACCCATCGGCTTTGGGTGACAGTTCGGTCGGAAGCCGAGGGCAACACCGGCATCACGACGAGTGGCGCTCTGGAATAAGGTCCCTTCAAAAAATGAAGTTCATGAATCTTTCAATTTGAGAATACCACCACGCTCCATTTGTCCTTCTAAGGACCGTCTCAACGGGACACCTGAGAAAACATTTTTATCTGGGACTGTGCTTTTGAGGTGCGCTTTTGAATTAAATACTTTCTCGACTTCCAGACATTTTTCAGTCAATCAGTCAGTACATAAAACTGTATTCAATACTTATAAGGTCCACAATAAGACGAAAGAATTTACAAAGATATTTGCTGTATAAGTGAAGAAAAACAGTCAAATCAGGTTGTGAGCCGCGCGTGATGTCAGGTCAGTAAATATTTGCTGTATAGAGAGAACTGTGAAAATCAAATGTCACTCGTTCATATTTGCTACCGTATTTATCGGGAAAATGGTTGCATCCGGAAGTCCAACCATAATTATTCCATTCAGAAGCACTTTCCTAATCTAACCGGTAGCGTTTTCGGCAGAGGCCAAGAGATTTCTCCTCATTAAAGGTGGTTAAAATTTGATTTAGCTTATTAATATTACGCCAAACTCAGCAGGCAGTGGCAAGGGGGCTGAAAAGCGGGAAGAAGATGAATAAATAAAAGATGAAGGTAATCAGAGTTGTGAAGGTGAAAGGAATGAAACTTCCGTCGCCAAGCTCATGACGATAGAGAGGGCCAACACAAGAAGAGATAAGACAATCCATTTGATTTGCTCCCAGACGTCAGAAAAAGTTACCCAATAGTTTCTAGAGCATAAATAAATACATATAGGTGCACTAACTAACCAGAGGAGATTAAGTGAAAAAGTGGTCCGCATCGATCAGACAACACTGAATGTATGTATAAAACCGGGCCGACCGCCGACTACGCGTTCACGCTGAGGGTGTGTGGTAGTGAGAACTTCAAGCCAAACAATTTAATTATTCAAAAAAGATATAAAAGTGCTAGCGAACTAATACCGAGTACCATCAACCATTGAAATGAACGATTTTCGTAGAATCCGGGGGAAAAAAAGCTGCTTTGGAAACTGATATGAAAGTCAGGCTTGCCTACAAAGAGCGCAGGCCAAATAGTAGGGCCAAATAGTAGAAGAGTCTATGACGGAACCTTACGACTTACGGTACTTTTGGAACTGTTAGGTCACAACAGAAATTCAAGCATAATAAAGCTCATCTCGTCAAAAACTAAAAGAAGTTTAAAGGCAAAAAAAA